GTGTCCGAGGGCACCAAGGCCGTGACCAAGTACTCTTCCTCCACCAAGTAGATGTCGCCTTCTCATCCGAACGGTGTCTGATTACTTTGGTTCTTTCCTCAAACAACAACCTCCTCCTCCTCCGGTCTCATGAATGGGTGGCGTTTACGATTGTGGCGCGCGATAATGCGATCACGGGTCTCGGGTCTTGCTTATGGTTTTATCTCTTACTTGTGTGATGGGTGGGGGAGCTGAATACCACGGGCAGCGATTTGAGCAGCAGGCTCATGTGACAAGCGGGCAGTACGAGTTGAAACTGCATGAGCTGTACAGTAGCAGCAAAGCACAGCGATATGATGTCTGTCAATGAGAAAGACAGAATGGCATGAAATCATTTAACCTCCACTTCATCCTTTCACTTCTCAATCGTGTCTCTGAAGCTGTTCGATCTACCACTCCTCCCTCGGCTTCATGGTGGCTTGTACCTACACCACCATTCCAGCACCTTAATTGCCAGCATCAACGGCAGCGATATCTCCTTTGCTCCAGCGGCAGCGACATCATTTTCGAGACTACTGGAAGCGCGCCTTGTTATGCCCGTCCCAAACCAGTCAAGCGCCAAAAAACGCGATGGTAGCTGCTCAAAAGCAAAAAACAGTGCCAAGCATAATGACGAGTGAAGACGGCGGCGGCAGTAAGCATGGACGTGAAACGTAAGGGAGTCCAACTCAAGGTCATAACCTGGCAACGCAATGGCTGAGACTCAGAGGTGGGGGGTTAGGGTACGAGACTGTATGCGCAAGCGATGTAGGAACTTCCAAACTACGCCGAGTGCCTGCGCCGTGCATGTGTGATGCTGGCTCGCTCGCAAGATCCGATGCCCATGGCGTCTACGTAAACCTATCATCGGCTCCCCAAAGCAAGCAATATCGTTCACCAAAGCCGCCTGGGGAAAGACAGCAAGTAGCCAGTCAGAATCATTCATGCCCGCACCCCCTCCTCCCCTTCCTCATCATCATCATCCTCCTCCCCCGTAACCTCATCATCCCACGCCTCCACCTCGTCCACCGCCCCCGGCCGCTCGAAACTGCGTTTGTAAACCGGCTCGCGATCATGAACATGTATGATAGCCTTCCCCTCCGCCTCTTCTACCTCCTTCCTCCACTTCTCAAAATCCTCCTTCGATCGGATCAGGAAGCCAAGAAGCATGGAAGGGTCCATTTCCGCGGTGCCCAGTCTGCGTAAGCGGCGGGTATGACAGGTCTCTATATCGGCCGCTGAGGGATTGGGAGGGAGTGCGGGACGCGTGGTGTGAGGGTCGAGATAGAAGAACTGGTCGTTTTGATGCCCGATGAAGTAATGGCTGCTACTGGGCCTCCCCCCCGCGATCCCGACCGATTGCGGCATTTCCAGGGCGGATTTCAGCGCGGCGTGGTAGACGGGGGTGATGCGATCGATGCCTAATCTCACTCCCAAGACAATGAGGGTAGGTTGGAAGCTGCCATCTGCGTCTTTCTGCCCGGCGGTGGCAAAGAGTTGTTCGGCGTAGACGTCGCTGTCGTCTGGACGGGAGTAGACTCTAAGCCCAGCGGAGGGGAACTTGTCTGTCAGGGCTCTGTCACGTAGATCAGCGACTGGCCATTTCTACTTCCTGTTGCTTGAATTGGTGAGAAAGAAAAAAAGACTCACTGTAAACTCCTCGCCGTAGCACTCGGCCCAAACCATTCCCCCGGATGCTTCCCACAAGCCTGCGCGCCATGCTCGACGAATTTATGCAGACTGAACGGCGCCTCGGGCGTATCGGCAAACAAAGCCAAGAGGTCTTTATGCACCTGCTCCATCCCTCCACTCGTCAGCCTCCACTCTCGACCCAACTTCAGCATGGCCAGACTATTAGCGAGAAGAGACTGCCCACTGCGAATCATACACCCCCATCCCGTATCGCTTGTGAAACCCCCCTGGTTCCCCAGATTGCGGAGTTTGGTGGAAAAGGACATGGCGGACGTAGCGGCAGGGTCTGAGGATTTGGAGATGGGCGGGAAGTTGCTGCGGTAGGAAAGCCAGATCCTCGCCTCCATATCATCTAGGAAGTCCGTCGGCCAGCCTAGTGCTTCTTCTTCCTCAGAGTGGGTGAGGTTATTGATGGTGGAGAGATCATCCTTCCCGTTCTCCGCGCTCTCGGAACTCTTCTGTCCCGCATCCGTTACGACGGCGGAGTCGGCTTGGGAGATATCTGAGTGCGCGGAGGGGGAGGTGCCAGTACCGGTGCCGGTGCTGGTGACTTTTGCCTGGCGGGCATCGAGGTAGCGGGAGTCGTAGCGGCGGCCGAGACACCAGATGGCGGAGGGGTCGTCGTTGCGGGGAGGAGGGTCCCAGAAGTATTGGACGATGTGGTTGGTGAAACGGGTGAAGTCTTTGTTGGCCATGATATTGGGATTGGATGGGTGGGGGTGGTAGGTAGGGTTTGTGTGGAATGGTGGGGTTATGGTGGTGGTGGAGGTGGGATGTTGTGGTCAGGCAGTCCGTATTATCCGAGTCTTAGTCACTATCCCTTGGTCATGGCAACGACAGTAACGACAGCAGACGTAGATGGTGCAGGAGGAGGAGGAGGAGGAGGAGGTGGAGGAACAGGGCTGCCGATCTGCTCGCATGACTACCATCTCACACACGCAGGCTGTATGGCGTGCCTACATGTATCTTGAGAAGTCCGTGCGTCAGCTTCGTTGCAGGGATCTTGCTATCGATTAGAGATATGCAGGAGCATCGAGCGACTCACCCGCAATCTCATTCCATCATCGTGGGAGGCAGAAAGTGGGTCATCGCAACACTTATTACCTTATGTACTGACCACAGTCGCTCCTTGACTGGTATACCTTCGCTTCGGTCGCATCAACATCGCATTGCTGTATATCAGTATATCAATATCTTGTGCAGCTAGAAGTTCGGGTAGAAGAGATAGAGAAAGCAAGCAGCACTTCGCCACAGCGTAGAAGGAGTGGTGATGGGCAAGAAAGGCAAGGGCAAGCAGCCCACGGGTGGTCGCGCCAAGGCAAGAGCAAAGGCCCAGAAACACTCGCCTGGTTCTGGCGAGTATAACGGAGGACGCGCACAACAACGCCACTTCCTCGACGATGCTGGTACGCATGACGCTCGCTCCTTCCCGAGATACATGCCCATTCATCCCCATACTGAAATATGACCACAGATGACAACAGCGACAAGATGTTCCGAGGCTTCGCCCAGAGTGGTCCGCGGGGCGACTTCTCCCCTCGCAATGCTAATGTCAAGCTTCGACATCAAGCCATTTCCTTTGTGAGCGCCGGCAGTAATACACCCATCGAGCTGGAATCGAGCAAGCTGGCTGAGAAGGTGGCGGTTAGCTTGGAGGAGGAGGATGATGAGGAGGATGGAGAGAGCTCGGAGGATGAGGTGGAGTTCGAGGGCGAGTTTGAGGAGGATGACAGCACAATCCAGACCAACATCCTTCAAGAGGCCGATGGTGATGGTGAATTATCGGAAGGTGCGATCGGGAGGATGAATATCGACGACAGTCCGCCCTCCCCATCTCCACTGGAGTTTGTGATTGACACGGCGGGCGATCCGTCACTCGCCGCGAAGGCAAGCACGAATAGCAAGCAGGCCAACGGCAAAGCACGAGTGGCACGATCGCCTTCGCCTGCGCTGTCGGATACGAGCGACGATGTTGTGCTGTTCCACGGCCGTGCTAGCATGACGGTTCGGACTGTGACAGACAATTTCACACAGAAGCCAGCAGAGACCTCGAAGCCGCCACCTCCAGCCACTTCTATCACGGCACCAGCCACTTCTATCACGGCACCAGCTCCTGACCGCACACCTCACATCACAGACGACTTGCTTGCTGCACTACGAGCTTCTCCAGGTCCGTCTGCGTCACCTTCACCTGCCAAAGGCTGGGCCACGCAACCATCAAAGCACGAACGTGAAGCAGCTGCATCTTCGAGTGACGCATGGAAGCCTGCTCCTGCTAAGCCTTATTGGAAGAGCAAGAAGGTCATGCCACGACCAGATCTCGATCCTCAGCCAGAGGAGTTGGAGATGCTGGAAGACACTCCTCTACGCGCATCCAAAGTCATGTTCCAGGCAGGAGCGAAGGAAAGGGGTGCAGAAGCAACGATCGCAGAACTACAAGCAGATTGGAAGAACACGCTCAAAGAGAAGAAGCGGACAAATGCCATCCCGCAGTATGGTGAAGTGGAAGAGCTCGAGCTTGATCTCGGTCGCAAGTCGAATAGGAGAGGCAAACGAGGACGGAAGAAGTCGAACAGAGAGATGAGGAACGCCATCAAGTCGGATGATGAGGATGACTCGGAGGCGGCGTATGATGACTATATGCAGAACCTTGCAGCTCAATTGGCAGCTGAGGGTGGTGGAGCTGCGGCGCCTATGCCTGCCACTTTCATGTCAGACGCTGTGCTGGGTCCGTCGATTGTGGTGAATGGGAAGGAGGTGGCTGATGATGCAACGCTCAAGCACTCGAATGAAGATGAGTGGGAAGATGAGGAAAGTACTGACACTGACAAAATGATTGGCGAGGATGCCAGTGACCTGTCTGATGACGACGGTCTGAATTACTCGGATATGGAGTCAAGTGATTTGGAAGAGGAGCTGGAGTACACCGAGCGGGAGCAATGGGAAGACGAGCAAGATCTGCGCCAACGTCGACAAGATGCCATGACCGACGAGCAACTCGCACGACTCTTCGCCAAGCAGGAAGAACTTGGTATCAACTCCAAGGACCTTGTGATCGACGACGGCATCTACGAAGACGAGGACGACGCGATGGAAGGTATAGGCGATCTAGTCGCCGCCCGCGTCGGCCTCCAAGACATCTCCAACCTCAGCACCCCCACCACCCACACAACCAAACGCACCAAACGTGCCCGCAAAGCCCAAGGCGACTTCGATTTCCCCGACGCCTCCGCCCTAGCCGATACTCTCGACCAATACGGCGCCCAAGGCTTCGACATCATGGACCTCGAGCGCCCCTCCCTGCGCCCCACGAAAAAGGGCCGGAAATCCAAAGGCCAACTACCCCCAGAACTCGACGCACTCTCCGACGACGATCTCCGGGAGACTATGCTCGGAACCTGGGAGAACGACCGGGAAAAGAAACGGCTTAAGAAAGTCGAGCGGGAGGAGTTACGGCAGCAGGGTTTGTTGGGCTCGAGTGGAAGGAAGGGGAAAGCGGATCTGGGGATGAAGTACCTACAGGGCATGACCATGAAGCAAGTCTTGGAAGAATTGAGGATCTTCTTACAAGATGATGGGCAGAAATCCCGCCCTTTCCCGCCTATGGATAAGAAGGATCGCAAGACGCTGCATGAGGTTGCTGGCGCGCTGAATCTGAAGAGTAAGAGTGTGGGGACTGGGACGCAAAGGTTCCCGGTGTTGTATAAGACGAGTTGGACGGCTGAGTACTCGGATTTTCATTTTGAGAAGATTATGGTTTCGGCTCAGAGGGGGTTTCTGAAGAATAGTCTTCACAAGGGCAGGAACAAAGGTAGTGGTGCTGGTCGGGCTTCAGGTGGTGGTGGTGGTGGTGGTTCTGCCCGTAAACCTGGCGGCGGTGGAGCTGGCCGCGGTGGCGATTTCGACAAGGCTGCTGTGTCGTTGAGAAACGGCGAGGTGGTTGGTGCTAATGCGAAGGAATTGGGTAAGGAGAATTTCGGGCATAAGTTGATGGAGAAGATGGGGTGGAGTGCTGGGATGGCATTGGGCAAGGAGGGGGAGGGGATGAGGGTTCCGGTTGCGCAGGTTATGAGGACGGGGAGGGCGGGGTTGGGTTGAGCGTGTTGAGGTGTGAAGGAGGGATAGGGTGGGGTGTGGGAGGAGAGGGGTGGGATGGGGTGGTGGGGTGGAGTGGGTGTGGTTGGGTTGGTGTGGGTGTGGAGCGGTTGTGATGTGGCATACACAATCGGTTGTTTGTGGCGATGGGCGGGCGTGGTCGCGGTTGTGATGGGTGAGGTCGATGTGGTCGGGAAGCGGATTTAAGGTGTGAGGGTGGTGGCGCTTAGCTTCCATCCTTGACTTCAGCTATAATATCTCTCCCCGTCCCTCATGACGAAGGCAGCCGTTGGTGCTCGTCGGCCATCGAGAAAGGCTCGCCGGGGAAGGACGCCGGGGTGAGATGTGGTTCATGATGTATAGATACCTGTATGTGTAACGAGCATGCCATACCCAACTCTTCTCGACCCTCAAACCTCCACCCTTCACCGTGAACCCCGGTCCACCGAATATCTGCTGTCGTCTTGTTCGTCGTTGTACATCGTATAGTAGTGGTTACTACTCAAATTTGTGGACGACCTGATTGAGCATGTGAAGATATACTATGATTCGTGTTAGTAGATATACATCATCTTATAGAAATGATGGTTTACAGCCGTCGACGACTAGATACAGCTCCACGGCACTTTATAGGATTTGAGAAGCTCAAGTATATATGAGATAGGTACGAAGATGCGGAATGTGTATCACTTAAGCTACTATGCGTTCTTCATAGCAAGATATCGTCGTCGTCGCGTCTTAGGGTTAGGGTTTGGGTAAACCTGCGGAAGTGCCAAGAGATGAGGCGGGTATACCCGTACCTCGCCGTTCGAAGTGGTTTCATACGATTAATGATCGGGAAAGACTAGCAATACAGTGCGAGGTTCACTAAGGCTTGAAAGGAGGTCAGGTGAAGACGGTACACTGCGGAACATGATCCCCGTAGATCGTGGTATATGATTGCGCCCGGCAGGATATCATGGGGTCTCGATCGGCATTGTCAGATCAGGAACGCGGCTGCTGGCGGACGGATGGGTATACTGTGCAAGGGGATTATACACGGAAGCTATGAAGGGTGCACGATGTTGTTATTACTGTGCTATATACGTCATGAGATTAGAGCGGTATCGTTGGGGTGCAAGTGGGAGAGAGGGAATCGGCCTGCTGTAGGGTTACTGCCGGATATTCTTAGGTGGCTCGAAAGGACCGCAGACGGAAGATATGGTGTCCAAGTGTCGTAAGATAGTGTGAGTCGTCCCATGTCTGTAGTCTGTGCCATTCGGCCAGGCACTGGTCGTCATGTTCGCCTTTTCTGAATGGTCTTCTCGAGCCGGTCATTGTCCTCGTGGGAAGATAGCCATGACCAACGACTCCAGCCACAGTCGAACACTAGGTACAGGACGCATACTCAGGATTCGCTGCGCTTCGACCGCACCCAGAGCACTTGTCAAAAAAGCCTTCTCGCCGGCTGCCATAGCTGGAGTCGGTCTGGCGCCCGCCTTGATGAATGCAGTCGTCATCCAGCTTGCGACATCGTGCTCATCAGCCGATTCGGCGAACGGAAGATGCCTCAGTAGCATAGCATACTCGTTGTTCCTCTGCTCCGGGTCCATACCTTGCAGAATCATGGCAAAGTTGCGTGGCGCCGTACCCCGACTGTTCAATGGTTCAAGAGTAGACCCACTCCTATAGTGGCTTGCCGGATCAAATCTAGGTCGAACAGATCAATCCCTGGCTCCTCCCCCTCCTTTGACACGCTAGACTGGAGAGGGCACCCAACGACCCAGCCAGGAGTGCTGGCGCAGACGACCTTGAAGGCGGAAGCTTCATCGAGCATGTACTGCGCCAGGAAGCTCAACAAGCACTCCTGGGCGCAAAGGTGGAAGAACCACGCATTCACGTCATATGTCTTGTCGAGGTAGAAGTGGTCTGAGTCGGTCAACAGAATCTGGTGAAGCGATGCCAGCGCATGATATGGTGGCTCTTGCTGCTGCGACTCCATTTGCCGTGCATATATTGCAAGGTCCACACTTTCCGTTCCGAAGATGTCCTGGACAAGACTTCCTACTTCGCCGTTGCAGATATCGTACAACCGGTGGATCAAAACGGCCTGAATGTTTGCAGAGAGACATATGTGGGTTGAAGTCTGACCCGGCCCGCCGTTCAAGCATCAGGCGAACATCAGCATCCTGAAGGAAGAAGTCTCGTACTGTCCGGTGCAAGAAGTCCACTGATGCTAGGCTGTCACCTGGGCGATAAGTCTACAGTAGATCCTGGCAGCATCCATTGATGCGTTTCTGAAGAAAGCCATACATTTCCTCGCATTCTGTCTCGCTTACCCTTCCGGCCATATCACATATCTTATCAGCTAGTGTATCATTCTCTTCGAGGGCGGCTAGACCAATGAGTTTGAGAGGTCCGTCGGCGTGCATGCACACCAAGAAAGTTCGTGCCGACTGCTGCCAATAGAATTCTTCAATGTTGTTGACCTTGCGGCGGAAAAAGGCTTCGAGGTCTGTCGGTATGCCTTCTAGCCGGCGACAGACATCAAAGAACGAGACGCGATTGTTCAGACTTTTCGTCAGTTCCTTTACAACTAGACTTACCCAGAGGAACACCCCTTTTGCCCTCTTTGTCACCTCTTCCACCAAGTGCTTCACATTAGCTTCGCTCGCCCGTGCATGGACGACATGAGGCTGGAGTTTCTCGCGGACAAACTGAGCGATGTCGTGTCGCGTTCAGTCCTGCAAAATGATCATGCCTTGAGCCTGGCCTGAAAATTCGTTTTGAAAGGCGTTCCATTCGTTCTGGTTGCTTCGATTTCCTCCGCACAGACCACGGGGAGAAGACTCGGGTGTTGCTTCAGGATGCTAAAGCACAGAGACTGGAGGAGACCAAGCTGATTCTTTTGCATGGTAGATCCGGCTATCCAGAAGAAATGGCTCGCTCGTACCACCCGCTGACCGCCGGCCCACTGAGACAGCAGGGTGACAGTGCGATCATCAGCGCACAGCATCTTCATCAACGTCGACTTGCCAGCCCCTGGTTTGCCCGAGATCCAATAGAGACCACTCCCACTGCGAAGCCAATCAACAATCGATGCTTGACCAGGTGACGCCTTGGTCCTGTCCGGGTCCAAGAGCCATCGAAATGTGTCTTTGTGGGGGTTCGTAATTTCATCGTTCCGAGCGTCCAGTGCTTCATAACGTAAGCTCTGCAGGACTCTCCGGACATACAGACATTCCTGAGTCTCGAAGGCGAAAGTCTTCAAGTCGCGAAGTACTTGCTGAACCATAATTGCCTCGTCCCTTTGGGTGACAGTAAGGTCTTTCACCATGTCCTGAAGGGCACTGACACGAGCCATGAGCTCACTCTCGTACTTAGCATTCTGTTGGTGCCTAGCCTCGACCATCTTATAGTGGGAGGACTGACGTTCGGCTGGTAAATATTAGATTCTTGCTCATTAGCGGCAGCCGCACACAAGCACTTACCGAGAATAAACATCATGAAATGAATGACTCTAGTCTGCAGAGAACGCAATTCTTTCTGCAGCCCAAGCATTGCATTCGTCTCTTTCTCCACCCGTATCGCGGCTCGTAACCGCTCGAGCTTTCCAGTCCCGCCTTGTATCTGCAGTCTGTCGAGCAGCCTCCCACGATCGCCCTTAACGCGAAGACAACAATCTAGGAGAGGCTCGACCGCGGCAGCCACGGAAGCATCGACTTCTTTAGCGGACATGAAGGTTCGAAGACCACTTGCGTACTTGTCGAAAAGCGCTAATTCTTTCAGCAGGCTCTCAGCTACCAGATAATTCTTCTCGCTTGCGTTGGTGAAGTTCCGATATATGTTCCGGGCACTTTTCGCGACATTGTAGCTGAACTGTACAAGCTGGACGATGGCGCTGGCCGCACCGAGCCCTGTAAGGACGTCCATGGACTGTCCGCCTCGGGGTACTGCGAACGGTACTCAGAGATCTTGGTCCTGCATTCGTCTGAACATAGTATGACGGGAAGTTGGCGGACTAGCCAGCGTGTATGGAAAATCAGGCGATACCAATGCGATACTGGGTGTCAATCGTAGATCCGAGCTTTAGATCCCATGGTGTGATAAGACATCTCCTGGCGCGTGACGTGGCCATCTTATTAAATCTAGAGGATGTTAGAAGTGGAAGGGGGGCGGATTTTACATCACGAGTGTGAGGCAGCCTTGCCGCCAGCACGACACGGCTCAGCCTCCAGGACTCATGCACACCTCGCAGCTGGGGCGTCAGGCACCGGGCAGCAGACGGTACGGGGCCAATCACCGTCTAGGCGCAGCCCTGACGAGATTGTGGTGATGAGAAATTATGTTCCCGACGTACATCTACTCGTAAGGCCAGAAGGATGATCATCCCGAGGATCGCGGTGTCGTTGCAGGGAACGCGTTCTCGCGATCAAGGGAAAAGTGCACGGCCTGTGCAGTCGCTACTATGATTGGTTGACCGGTCCGATTCATCGCCGAAGCCACTTCACCTCGTCCAGTTTTGCAGCACCGCGATTGCATTATTATTTGATCGCTGCCGTGCGAAATGCTAATGATCAAATTGCCATGATCTACGAAGGATGTGCAGCAACACGAGTATATCGGGAATCTTAGGATCTAAACATGATCTAGTCTCAGGCGAGCTGCATCTCAGAATTGCGTTCTGCTTCGTGGAAGCTCAGTAGGCGCGTTTGTGTACATCTTGGGAAGAGTCGCGTCTTGCGAAGTAATGAAGTAGATGTCAGCTTCGACAATGAGCAGTCAATGTCTCGTAAACGTGCTTATCGTCATTACCTGCCATGTCGGCCTCCAAGCGTTTGCAAACCTTGCACAAGGCGGGAGATCTGTTGCTGGCTGATCGTGGCCGCCATCGCCCATACGGATGTACTACGGATGTAGAAGTCTCTCGTGGTACTGTCTTGATACTCGTACTGGCACGCTTGAAGCGCGCTGAGAAGTATTGCCCTTCAAGGACGAGGTTTCCAGCGGACATAAGAAGCGGAAAACCTGCAAATCCAGTGTGAAGCGGAGGAGGAACGCCGGGTAGGTAGGACAAGGCAAGACTCGACCAACACTCCCTGCGCCGTACTTCTCAAACAACCGCATACGAGTCAGACCAGCCGTGTCCTACGCAAGGTAGCCAATGCTACTCAGTAGGAATCGTGCCCGGTGGACTGAGAGCGCTCTGTGCGCTCGCGCTGCTAACCTTCCAGGCCAATCCTGCACCATCTACGATGGCGCGCCTCACAATAGTACTGCTGCAAAGTTGTACCGGATTGTGATTCGGCTGAACGAGGCACCATCCCACAAGTCTCAACTACTGCCAGGGAGTCCAGAGGTGTCCTATGCGGAAGCCGCCACAAGCCCAGCGTGTCCGTAGGGGGTAAGCGTTACGCATGCATCACGACCCGAAGGTACCGGCCCCGGTACATAAGAAAGACGAAGTCAAGAGCATAGAGATCTTCGGGTACGCTCCACAGACTGGCGTAGAAGATCGCCGCTATTGGAAAGCCTCATCTCCATCCTGCAAACCGGGTGGAAACTCCGAGAGGGCCACAGTGAAGCAGGGCGGTCAAGAAGCGACCGACCTGTGCTGTAAAGCAGTGACTATGCCATCGATCCAACAGTGAGGTAGACCGTCCAGATGCAAAATCGAGTACACATCCTCGAGGGCTGAGACGTGCCGCATTGTGGCAGTGGACCTGAGTGAGGACAGCGAGGTCGATGAAGCGGCACGTCAATCGTGAGCGACAGTCCAGCTCGACAGAAAATGACAGACATTGACAGCGTGCTGACACGACCTGACGCAAATCCATCGCCTCAGAGTCAGCAGACTGCGAGCCATGATGTTGTTGTCAACCAAATGTAGACTAGTGCATGTAGAACGGTCACGCGTTGATTGTGCGGACTTCTGGGACACGATAAAGTTGTTGCTTCCGATGATGCCCCCCGCGCCTGCCCTCTCGCTGCCCTCCCATTTGCAACCTTCCAAACACGAGCTTCTTTCGACATCACAACAACAATTTATTGATCCGTGTCATACATCATTCGACTCGCCGTCTCACCGACTATCACCTCATCGAAGCAGAATATCACAATGCCTCCCAAGAAGACCAGCACTGGTGGCGCGAAGAAGGCAGCTGCCGCATCTGCGCATGCCTCGTATGAGGGTCAGTATCTCACTTCACCACGATTACCACCCACATTCACGCGTTATGGCATGCATTGCATTTGATAGAGCAGAAGCTGACGATTCTATTGATATGCAGACATGATCAAGGAGGCCATCATCAACGTCAGTCATTTTCCCCGGCGCAAAGTTGTTGACAATTCCCGTCGCGATTTGCTGCCTTCCCATGGACGCGTTCTTGCGGGTTTCAACACAACGAAGCTCGTCTAGACCATGAAACTCTTACTGACGCGTCGCCATGTCTTCAGCTCAAGGATCGCTCTGGTAGCAGGTATGTAACATTCCCACCTCGCCGCCGTCATTGACCGCCAATTCAGCGGACCAAAGGCACGAACATGCTCGAACATCTGCTGACTCTCATGCTTCTGCAACAGCCGCCAGGCCCTCAAGAAATATGTCCAAGCCAACAACAACCTTGGCGGTGTCACCGATGCCTCCTTCACCTCGCACTTCAACCGCGCTCTTCAAAAGGGATCCGAGTCCGGCACTTTCGCTCGTCCAAAGGGTACGTCTTTTCTGAACGATCGATTCGTTGCATGCGTGCTCGTGCGATCTTGTAATCAAGGCTCTGCGATGATCCTCGTCGATCGCATCGATGCCATCAACCAATCGTCCTCCTGACGATCCTTGATACTTGACCCTTGCTGACCTCGCTGTCGCCAACAGGTCCCTCCGGCCCAGTGAAGCTCGCTGGCCCAAAGAAGGATGATGCTGCTCCAGCCGCCACGAAGACTACCACAGCTAAGGCACCGGCGAAGGCCAAGGCCACCAAGACCGCTGCCGCAAAGAAGGCGCCTGCAAAGACTGCTGCCAAGAAGACTACAACGGCTAAGAAGGCTCCAGCCAAGAAGACTGCTGCTGCAAAGACAACCAAGGCCAAGGCCAATGTCGGCAAACCACGCAAGACCCCAGCTGCTGTAAGTACACACCACTTCGACCATCCTGCCGCCACATGCTAATGCTGTTGCAGGCTCCCGCTGTCGAGGAGAAGGCACCCACCGTTCTCACCAAGACCAAGACCGGCCGTGTCGTCAAGACAACCCAGCCTCAACCCGCAAAGAAGGCCGCTGCGAAGCGAAAGGCTCCCGCCAAGAAGGCCACCCCGAAGAAGGCTGCCACGCCCAAGTCCAAGGCATAAGCATGATGCCTTGACCGTTTCTTTTACTTGACGACAGTGTGTGCTGGATGAAAGCAACTTTCTGAAAGGCACGCGATACTTCTGTGCTGGGGTGACTGCGGTGGCGAATGGCGTTGACGAGGGCTCAACGTAACGTGTGTGATACCATTTTCTGTTGTCAATGGGTTTGGGTCGGGCGCGGTCTGTCAACAGTGCGCTTTTTTCAATGCCGGCGTTCCGGCGATGAGATGATGAATATGTACTATGACAGTACATAACTTGCTATGAAGTGTATTCAATTGTTCGACAACAAGTGCTCCAATTCTGCTCTGGCATTGTTTACGCGTTGCCAAGCGCGTCATGGTGTGAGTTACTCGTACGTCGTATACAAGATGGAGGTTCTGATGGCTACTAGATGGCTGTTACTGTTCGGCGACCCTCTATATGGAACATATACGTGCACCTATTGACTTGTACTGGTGAATTGATGGTTTGCAATGCAATTGCCATCCTTTGACACATCCAGACTACGATTAGAGTTCGCGATTAATCGTTGGCCATGTCATGTGCCAAGACATACGGGTAAGCCGCTGTCTCCATACGGAACTGGCGCAGGACTGCTTCCGTCCCGAGCGACCTGTCAACCTGTTTACCACTTCACTACTGTCAATCACCTCTGCTTCACTCTGCATCTTTGACTACCGCAATCCCACATACACTGGCCGCATCAGCATAATTCAGGCCTCGAGATACGCATACTTGGCCCGTGCCGAGGCGGCAAGCAGTGAGGAGCCCTGGCGCTGACGGACGTAAGAGTCGGGAGGTTGATGGACCATGAGCTTCTAAGGAAGAGTATCGAGCTCAATGCCGCCTCACGTGGGAGCTTCTACATGGTTCAGACCATAGACATGCCCGGTGTCCTGGACGATGCCCGTCATAACAGCACCAGCAGCCTTCCGAGATCCACGTCCCATTCATACAGCAGCAACGGCATACCTAGCAGGCTATCAAGCGACTTGTCGCGAAGAGATTCGGGCGAGAAAGCGACGCCTGGACTGGATGATATACCGGGAGGGTGGCCGCAGACGCCAGGAAGTCTGCTGAATGGAGGTGTGAGGGATAGCAAGGATGGCAGTGCGCCCAACGGACTTAACGGGGCTCTTATAGGCGACAGACCTTCAAGCATCAAAGCCTCTTCTTTAAGCTCACGTACCAGGCGGACGAGCGGCGTTGAGAATGAGAAGAAGGCTGGCGAGGTGGTGAAGGATCCTGTGTCGCGACCTGGTGCTGCAGAAGAGGGCTACTTCACTGTGCCACCAAATGGCAAGACGGCTCCAGCAAGGTCGCCATTGAGTAAGCCGAGCGCAATGCCCGGCGAATCCATGTCAGCTCCTTACGGGCGCGTCGTATCTGGACCACAGCCGACAACACCAGGCCTCACACTCCCACCTCTGGTGGAGAGCACGCCTTTTCAACCATCTCCGTCTGTCGTACCTGACTATTGTTTGCTGAAGCCACCATCACCAAAGAAGCACCGCGCATCTTCACCACCAGCCTTCTCACATTCGCCTGCGCCATTGTCTTCGGCATTATCGCATACGACATCTCTCTCGCCAGCAAGACCTAGCAGGCTCGAGCAGCGGCATACCCTGGAAGTGCCAAAAGTCAGTACCGCACGTGTCTCTACCGATAGCAATCATCCATCGAACACAGGATCAGATGGTGCCGTTGTGTCAGCCACAGGACGATTCTCTCCCACAACACCAACCCGAAGACGAGGATCTCTGCAATTAGCCAGGCGAGTTACCCGTTCAGTTCACTCCCACTCAGACATGCAGCTCGATCAAGTGCCGCTGGATGAAGATGCTGCTCGTTGGGCAGAGGCGATCAAATTAAAGCGCGCATCTAAGAAACAGCGCGCCGACACGGATGATGAGCGCGTTGTGGTTGGCACAAAAGTTGACGAGCATCACCAAAACTACGTCCTCGCATACAACATGCTTGGAGGCATTCGGTTTTGTGTTAGCAGGGTACAGGCCAAGATCGAACGCGAGCTCACCGAGGCCGATTTCCTTAGTTCATCGAAGCACGCCTTAGGTATGAACGGGGATGAGTTGACGCCAAGCTCGAAGTACGACTACAAATTCAAGGACTATGCGCCCTGGGTGTTCCGCCAAATCCGGACTGCTTTCGGCATCGATCCTGCAGACTACCTGGTCTCTCTGACTGCTAAGTACATTCTGTCTGAGCTTGGATCTCCTGGCAAAAGTGGCTCTTTCTTCTACTTCTCCCGGGACTACAAGTACATCATCAAAACCATCCACCACGCCGAGAACAAGTTCCTGAGGAAGATCTTGCCCGACTATTACAACTATGTCCTCGAGAACCCAAACACACTACTTTCACAGTTCTATGGACTGCACCGCGTAAAGCTACCCTACGGCAAGAAGGTCCACTTCGTGATCATGAACAACCTCTTTCCGCCACATCGTGATATTCACCGGACGTTCGATCTCAAAGGTAGCACAATTGGGCGTGACTTTCGGGAAGTCGATCTCGAAAAGAACCCTCGAGCCACACTCAAGGACCTCAATTGGCTACGGCGGAATCTGCATCTTGAGTTCGGTCCGACGAAGAAAGAGGCTTTTGTGGCGCAGATGCAGAAGGATGTAGCGCTCCTGCAGCGACTCAAGATTATGGATTACTCGATGTTGGTAGGGATTCACGATCTGGAGCGTGGCAATGAGGAGAACTTGCGGGACAAGACTTTGCAGGTCTTCCAGCCTGGTGGGTCGAAGGCCGAGGAGCCACAGATGCGTGCGTTGGCGCGGACGCCGAGTAAACTAGAACACGCTGCACGAGCCCGACAACTTCGAGAGACTGTGAATAGGGAGAGGCCTGTACCGATGGCTCAGACCATCGACAAGCTGCCGGACGAGTCACATCGAAAGAGCTTCTACTTTTACGCCGATGAGGGCGGGTTTCGGGCAACGCACGAGGACGATCACAATGGCGAGGAGATCTACTACCTTGGCATCATCGATTGTCTGACTCGGGTAAGCTTGGTCTCATCGCCGAGAAGGCGCAACTTTGCTGACATGTAATAGTATAACTTCGTCAAGAAAGCCGAGCATTTCTGGAAAGGTATGGGCGGCCACGAATCGCAGATCTCACCGATTCCTCCCGAACGATACGGCGAACGATTCATAAGATTCATCTCCGGCGTGACCATGTCTCGCGAGCAAGCGGGGAAAGTGCGCTTCTCGAATGCACTACATGAAACGTTTGGCGCCGTATTACCAGAAGGCATAGGCTCTCCGGTAGACGATCCGCAGCTAGGAGGTATAAACATGTACCGCCATCACATCGAGCAGGACCCGCGCAATCCTGATGGTACCGATGAAGTAATGGCGAAGGCTGAACATCAACTTGAGAAGACGAAGCAGGACGAATCCCACATACCGGATCTGTCGCTCTCAGCCGTGAAGGACACACGAGGCTCAGGTGATCATACCGAGCATGCGACGCTACCAGTCATCGGCGAGGCACAAGAGACGGCGAGCAACGCCAGCCAAACACCCTCAAAGGAGCCTGGTCGGGACGATCTACTCTCTCGTTCTCCTGTGCTGGGTGGTGCGAATTCGCCGTCAGATGATGCCGGACAAGTTGCTCCACCAACACCACCAAAAGACGAATCATTCTATCGAAGAAAGGACTCTTTGGACCGACGAGAAAGCAACGGTGGCGCACCACCTCCTACACCACCGAAGGATCGACCACGCGGGAGGACGTTCGATAAAGACCTCCCTGTACCACCTATCGCGACGAAGGTCCTAACACATAGTCCCACACCTATGGTTCAGGACCAAGGCATGAGGAATCGAGCGAGAGGGGCGCAAACGAAGTGAAGTTCAGCACTGACTTCGAAGGGTGATCTCTTATGTTAACCATGTCCATCGATCCATCGATCCTGCGTTGGATCAGCGACTAAGGCGCCATCTGGGTTTTATTGTCTAGCACAGCAGCGAGATACCACTGACGGCTTGTTTTCCTGCTTTTGTTGATTCTTTCTTCAGAACTGTATGTTCTTCTTGACGGCCTTCGTCCGTGGGCTCATTGTTCGGGAAGAAGGAAGGGGTGGCTCTTCGGGTTGTAGAAATAGATGATAGCTGGTATGTAGCATGGCTCGGCTGGCACAGACGAAGCAATTGCAGCAAGTGCATGATACCAAACTCTTTGCCTGCCGAACTTCTCCGTGGGTACGAAAGATACATACCTGATACGTGAGATGTGCGCCGTCATCGTCAGTTGTTTCGATGCCTCATACGAATACCGTCGCAGATCCACTCGTCGGCCAGCCTCTCGCCGGCTTTCCCCACATTTGCCAGTGATCGCGGATAGAGTTTTGGTTGCCCCGGCGGTCGTCGCAAGTGAATGGGATGATGTGATTGGCTGGCAGGATCATGCAGGCTGGTCAACTGTGCATGAGGTGCTTGTGCTTGCTGGCTTGCTGTTCACCGTGCTGTAGAACCATACTTCTCCTACATATCTGTTTGAAACCAGGGCAGAAGCACACCTTACCGAGCAGTAATTGCAGTCACGGCATCCGACCATCTTCCGACGCTCCAGAGACATTCGGGCGGCCGCATGTGGAGGTGGAAATGAGTCGGTGATCGGCAGCAAGCTGAGTCGGAGGCTGGACAGTAGTAGTAGTAAGAAGACGAAGCAGTAGAAGTTATGGAGGCTACAGCTATGACGACGGCGGCCACGGGTTCATACGGCGGGTCCTCGACTGAGTCCACGGCGTCAGCGTCAGCACCAGCACCAGCACCAGCACCCGCACCCGCCTACGACGACGATGCCAGACATTACGCTGCAGTGTCCTCTAGTCAGCTCCCCAAGGCCACCAGCACGCTCTTTCCACCTTTCGCGCTGATGGAGAGTGGTGGTGGCCACCGTGAGGGCAAGAGCATCGGCACTCGTTTCCACGAAGACTGCCACGAGACCGATGCTTCAACCTCGGCCAGCCCACGCCTTCGCAGCAGCCGCCTCTCCAAAGGCAAAGGAAACGCTGCTCTACTTCTCGATGCTCAGACGCAGCCGCGGAAACCTTTACGGCTGCTCGACCTACCTGTAGATATTCTGAAGGACATCGTGAAAGAGGTCACGCATACTAATGATCTGACTTCTTTGGCGCTGTGTCATAGCGCGTTGCATCGCTTGACCGTACCCCATATCTACTCGAGATTCGACATCGTGTGGCCGGATACTAGTGTGCATTCGGAGCCGAGGAGTGGTGTGGATGCGCTTACGTATGGCCTTGCAACGCTGGTCATGGCGGAGGAGATCTTTGGGGAGGCACCGGGACAGCGGGTCATGGGTGTGGGCGTTGCGCAGAGCGGGAACAGGTTCTTGAAGAGCGGGAAGGGCAGGGCGACGGAGATGCAGGTGAGAAGGCGAAGAGGCAATCACTACGCACAGTTCACGAGAAAGTTCTCCCTCGGTAATGGGCCGGCGGACTGGGTGCAGGAGTATCTGATCACGAAGGAAAGTGGGAAGATGCTCGGGACATTAGTCGCGCTTGCTGTGGCGCGGATGAGGAGTCTGGAGACTTTCATCTGGGATATGCCGACTGGGATACTACGAGATGTCTGGCTGGCATTGTCTTCACTGGACGATCGAGATGATGGAAGGCCTTGTAGACTGGAGAAGTTGTGGGTGAGGTGGCATGATAATTCGTCTGCCGATACCGCGGCGACTGGGATTCCGCCTCCGCCACCTCCTATGCATTTGAACGGTATGATGCCGGCGCCTTTACAGCCTGCTGGTGGAGTGGTACCGAGCGCCCTTCCACCTTTGCAGATTCACGCTGCGGGACTGGATCGAGTGGAGCATCCTTCGTTCTCTGTCTTGCCTGCGCTCAAGAGCCTGAGTGTGCTGGATATTGATGAGCTAGCCTACCTGGACGAGATGGCTGTGTTGATTGGACGGTCGCTCGACAAGCTGCGTGAGCTTCGGGTTGGCATTGCGCGTCATGCTATGAGCAAGGTGTGGGTTACAGTGTGGGAAGGCGAAGAACTGCTGCAGGTCGATCCAGACTATCCTACAGCCGGCTCGTTCACGATTGGCGAGAAGCGCAATGGTGGTGTTCTCGGCACCCTCGCAGGCTTTATATGTGATATGCGAAGACCGAAGATCATGCTACCGGAGCGGACGAGAAGGATGAAGCCTACTCGAGCGCCACCGCCACCGGCTATGCCTAGTCCTTCGCAGGTGGACAATGCTATTACTGAGGCGCTCAACACTATTACTGCTACGCCATCGCTGGGAGAAGACATACCTGATCACGATGATGTGGTCTCACCTCCTGTGGCATCACCAGAAGAGCTATTCTCAGACAGCCAATCACTCAGCCCAGACATGGCATACGCCTCTGATCCTCTGGTCGCGACGAGTCGGCAAGCCAGTCCCGAGCCTAGCGCCGAGCATCGAATCGCAGCTACCAGCCCGACAATTGAAGATGTGGTGCTTGGGAGCGAGCCGATACAACCAGTTGAGCCATCGGAACCACCTCTGGACAACTCACTACAGCTCGACAATCTCGAGCTAGAGCGCGTACCACTCTCCATACCCGTCCTCCAACGAATGATAAACTGGACCCACTTGACCTCACTCACCCTCCTTCACTGCCAAAACCACGAACAGCTCTGGAAGACTCTCCGCAGAAGTCTCGCACCTGTACCACGATCGCCGACATATCCACAACCCCGCCGCACACCCAACTCCACCCCACGCAAGAACAGCAAGTCGACCATGGCCTCCGAACCTGAATTCGAGTACCGCATCCATCTCAAAAAGCTCCACACCAACACCGTCTCTCCTGCGCTAATAAGTTTCCTGAAAGAAACACTTGCACCCAATACGCTCGAAGTCCTCTTCCTACAGGAAGCACGGAGTTACTCCTCGTCCGTGTCTATCGATACAATCTTTCGTGGCCCCATACGAAGACATAGAGGAAGTCTGAAGAAGATACTGATCGACAGCTCGGAGAAAGGTGTTGACGGCCTACCGACGAATTCGAGTCGATGGAGGCGGTGGATGTTAGGGAGGGAAGTTCTAGGCTTCTTGTGCTCAGCCAGGATGCCGGCGCTCAGAGAGTTGGGCTGTGCGCTGGATTATCGGGATTGGGTGAGTTTTGCCTCATCATGACTTTTCCCGAATCTTCCGAATATAATTTACTGACAGAGTCTACAGCACTTCTTCCTGCAATCCCTGCCTTCGATCCCACATCTTCGCAGCCTCTATATCCCCTTCCTCGCCGACCACGTGCACGGCACCAATGTAGATCCCCGAGAACTGGCGCTTCAGATCGTGGATATTGTGGCTCTGCGGCCTGAGGTCGAGCTATGCTATATGGGCATCGCGAATAAGTGCTTCGAGATCCTGGAGAACAAACGGGATACCGACTCGCGCAACGAGTCTCACCTCGGCTTGAGCGGTGGTGGGCCGATCGTAGAAGGTTCCACGGGCTTCGACAATGACGAGGACGAGGACGACGTTGATGCTGATGACGAGGACGCGGAAGACGATGGGGAGGAGGGTGTAGAGGAGGAAGAGGCAACGGAAAGCGATGATGAGGATGACGATGATGACAATGATGAGGACGACGACGACGATGATGATTCCAGTGATGGAGGGGGTAGTGGTGGAGGAGGAAGAGGAGGTAGGAATGCGGCGCGGTTGAGGTTGAGGGAGATCTTGTTTTATGATGATAAGGTTGCTGTTTTCAAGGCGAGGCATGGGCGGTTGTAGACTTTGTGATTTGAGGGGAAAAGGGGCGATGTGCTTAGCTTTATATACCATCTACCCATCTGATCTTGGAGCTGTGCTTCTTCCACTCAAGTTGTGCTGTTCAATTGTGTGGCTTTCGGTGATAGAAACGGGGCGTATATTCGAGTTTGTGCATTTGATAGGCACTGGCGGGCATCGATGCAGCGTCGACGGAGGCACATAGGTGCATTCTATTTGCTTCCTCGAGTCGTCTGATGGGTGGCGTATGTGACGTTCTGGTCGTTCTCGTCACCGATTCCCTCGCAAAGCAGCCATGATGTACAATTGCACAGCTTTCCGACGTGATGATCGAAGTTTCGACAAGTTCGGGACCTGAAGCTCTACCAAGCATGAAACCTCAGGTAGCGACGATCACGACGAGACTGCAGCAACGGGAAAGGGACTGATTGTTGCATTCAAGTCATGGTATAGCTCACGCCAGGCTCTCGCTTGCTTACCGGACGCACACCCTCACCGACTCCCTAACGACGTCTTACCCAAACCCTAACCCTAACAAATTTTTTTTATTTCATGCACGTCTCTCGGGGCCCAATGGCCTCTGATGACCAGAAACGAGTCTGACTTCAACACTGAACACCACTTTGTAATGTGTGAACACCGCTGGACTATGCAGCTCACTTGAGTCTCGTCGATCAGCACGTACAGGTTCCGCCTGCTCTCCCGACCGCGAGTACGCCACGGTAATGTAGCGGAGGGCAACCTTGAGGTATAAAGATCGCAGCTGTCGGCCGGGATCATCAATATCACACATCCTCGTTATGCTGGTCACAGCTAGATGTAGTGATAAAGCCTACTGATATTACGGCACGAACCATTTGCCCCGGTGGGACAGCGGCTTATGCGCTCCTACACCAGATGACCAGACCACAGTGAATAACGTCCGAATTGTACAGCGACAACGATACATCGGCATTGGACACAGTGGATATGTATCCTGAGCAGACCGGGACCTCCCAAGGAATCAGGTCATACGTGAGGTCGAAGCCAAGGACCTACTGCATGACCGGATCAAATCAGCCTCCGTTCATATTTTCCTAGCGGAATGGGGGGATATGAGATCCAGAACAAAGGTCTTCCAGGAGCACCGCTGTATCGCCATGATTCTCACACAAGAAGGATATGTGGCCAAGCGGCTACTACAAAAGATCGTGTTCTGACTCGAGCCAAAGAAGAAGGTGGCGAAGCTGTTGTCTCATATTGCATCCCGTGATCAATGGGCCAGATCCCTCATCTTCCCATCATGCCAGCCGTGTCGCCTCGCGTACTTTGCCCTCCTCTCAGAGTCGCCGAAGCCTTGTCGAGAATGTGATACACTACCCCATCAGATACGTACTCTGCAAAGCCAGGACATGGAGACAAGCGCCACCGAAAATGACACAGCGATACTCTTCGCCATAGTTTCTCGAGAGCTTCCTGCGGTACAGTTGAAACAGGTACATGGTATGAGAATAGCATCTCGCCTTCAAGATCGCAGGCACTAGAGCGTGTAAAGACGGCGGAGTCCATTCACGAGCAAAGAGTAGCCGATGGTCTCGTGTCTTTGATCGCAGGGAACTCATCTCAAGACGATATCCGTCGATAAGTCCAGAGCAGTCGATGTTTCAAGTAAACCTTCGGATAGTGTGGGGTCACGACGACGAAATCGATAGGCTCCCTGCCTCAGCGAGGTTCGAGTGGAGAGTTTGTCTGCCATTTGGATACATGTAGATCCGGGGTAAGTCAAGGTGGCGAAGAGTCTGTCACCGGCTGAACATCGAGTATAGCGAAGGTGAGAAGTGGACCTCTCTCCAGAAAACAACGGTACCAACCCGGTCGGGGTTGCGGGGCGCAGCGGCAGAAGAAGCTTGGCACGGCGTTCCCGCTGTCATCTCGTTTCTTGGTAGCTTTCAGCCATTTCACCGTCCAGACCTCAAAGCATGCACCTGATACCTCTTCAACGATGACAAGCTGATTGCGCATCTGTAATCGTCATCGTAGTAGAGACAGTTGCAGACAACGATCTCAGCGGGAGGCGTGGCTGGCAAGCAACGTCTTCAACCGTCGTCCTGCTCCGCCCTCAACGCCCTGTCTTAGACCATCCATCATTCAATCGCCCGACACCGATACAAGGGCACTCAACACATCTTCCGCAGGCGGCTAAATCTGGCTCTGTGGGCTAGAGGGTCATAGACTTTACTGATTCGACTCCTCTCAATCGTGCACAAAAGGATCATACCAAATATCTGAGACCTGTGTTGTCGCCATCGGCAGGACCCTGCCGCCATGGCCCCGTCGCACCACAAAGAATGGCGATATGCTTCATCGTGATGCCGCTCGCTGATCTGGCCGTCAACTGCGGGCCTTCGTTCGCCTGCGGAGAAATAGCCATAGACATAGGATGCAGGTACGCACGTTGCCAGGCTGCCGGACCGCTCGCTGCCGGCTGTGCGACAATGTACGACGCCCGTTAGACAGTGCAGATCTTCTGCACGCCAGCCCTACATGACTCGTCTTGGAGGTTCCCATGTATGTATGCTGCTACGGTGTATAACGCCCCTACACAAAATTGTACGGCACACACTGCCCTGTGGCCTTCGGAAATCTTTCCCTACAGCTCGGTACCGGACACACTACTGGCCCACAAGTTCTGTTCCTGTTCTATCAAAACTTACTTCCCCACTGTCTTAGACTCAGGGATTATCGAATGTACCGAACCCTACGTGAATACGCCAGATGCAGTGGCTCCGTCCTACGGGCGCAGCGATAAGGGCCAGCAGACTTCGAGGTACATTCAGCTCTCCGATATAGACACGGCCAAAGTCAAGTTGGGAAGATCGCCGTGCCTTCGGGTCTAGCCCAAGCTGTCAGACAGCCCTTCGGTTGGTTCTTTGTGCTTGAGGCAGCCAGAGATGGTCAAAATCGGTTTGAAAGCATTCTAGGCAGCATGTGACGATAGTGTAAGGGTCTTTACAACGCTGTAACCATAACGGTTATGCTTTCCGCTTAAGTTTTCCAGGTCACGATGGCTCACCTAACACAACTGACTGACTATAGGCGCCGTCCTATGATCATACATGCCAGAAGTAGCATTCCTTGTCGGCACTTCCGTGGCTCGCGATCTGTTAGGCATATGAAGAGCTCGCTACACCAAACTATACTGATCAGATCCACCGTGGTATTGTGGAATTCGCTAGCTAGATCTCCACAGGCGGAACGAAAGGGACCTTGTCGACGGCCAGACCATCGAGCGGCATAATGATGAAGCATGTTGCCACCGACAAAGAGTCGCTCTGGGCATATAAGGAGGGCTTCCTCGCCGCTCCATCAACATCAGCACCAGCATCAGCATCAGCATCAGCAACCAGCTTCTCCAGTCTCGAGTAAGCAGTTCGTCCTCTGTTGTTGGAATCGTCGACATCCAGACATCAATCGCCGCCATGTCTTTCAAGTCTCTCCTCAGCTTGGCTGCTGCGCTTGCCGCCGTGCAGGCATCTCCAGGTGAGTGATCTCCATACAGATTGCGGTCGTCCTGCAGACACCCCTCATTATCTGTGGCACTACTGACATTGATCTTTTCTCAGTCACCACAGTGTCAACTTCCTCGTCTGCTTTCACTAGTCAGTGCACCGGCGCTGGACTGAGCCAGGATCAATGCAACCAGCTCAATGCTGTTGCAAGCCTGAACGGCGTTTCTGGTGGTAACGTTGCAGTGACCGCCGTCAACAACGGCCAGCCCTTCCTCAACGTGTGCCTGAACTTCGGTGTTTCGACCAGCAACTGCGCTGCCTTGCTCAACGATGCCATCATGAACGGGAACAACATCGACATCGACCTGCCAACATTGCAGAATCTCATGTCGTCCATGGGCGTGTCGAGCATAGTCACAAATCTTGTCGGCAACCTGGCCTGCACGACGGGCAATGGGCTCATCCAGCTTCCCCCCAACTTCCTGCCATCCACCCTGCTGCCGTCTGTCTTGCCTTCGATTGCCACAACGAACATCCTGGCCTCGCTCCTTCCTACCTCGATTCCTGCAGTCACGCTACCAACTTTGGGTGTGTCAACGCTTCCAACGATCTCAGTCGGCTTGTCAACGCCAGCTCTGTCCGTTGGCCTGCCAACCAGCGCCATCACCGCTTTGCCGACTTCGCTGATCCCTGGCTCTATTCTTTCATCGGTACTCAGCTCTCTTCCACTGGGTGGCGGCAACCCGACAGTCTTGCCTACCAGCGTCCTGCCAAGCAATATCGTTTCAAGCATCTTGTCCGGTCTGCCAACTTCGGTCTTGACCAGCCTGCTGCCAACATCGGTGGCTGGTGGTCTACCCACGGCAATTCCAACAAGCGTCTTGCCCACATCTTTGTTGTCGAGCATCATCGCCTCCAACCCAGCACTTGGATTGTCAACAGCACTCCCGACTAGTGTCATCCCCTCGAACATCCTCTCGAGTATCATCTCTGCTATTCCAACCTCTGTTGCTCTCCCGACGGTCATCCCAACTAGTGCCCTGCCTACGGCCGTGTTGTCGAGCATCATCGCCTCCAACCCAGCACTTGGATTGTCAACAGCACTCCCGACTAGTGTCATCCCCTCGAACAT